GGCCCAAGCTTGCTCCAGAGCAAGCCCTGCTGGAGCAGAGGCTTTATTTGAAATCATAATCGTAATAGTAAGTCATATGGGCTCTAACTGATTGACACCTACTATGAGAAAAGCCTGGATGGGTGGGATGGAGTCATTGAAGGACTCACAGAAAAGTGGGGAAGTGGTGGTTGACATGAGTTCGTGACCATGCACACTGAGGGAGGGATGAAACTAAGTGAAAATCCCAGTGTGGGGTCCTACAGAGGAAGTGGGGGTGGGGTCCTGGGTAGGGGAGCTCAGTCAGAAAGATGAACAGGTGTGCCAGATGCTGAAGAAGGAGAGGGTCTTCTGAGTGGAGGGAAGAGTCTGCGCAACCCGGGTATGAGTGACAAGCACCCAGGGGTCAGCGTGGCTGAAATGAAGGGGGATGTCAGGGCAGGAGCTGGGCTGAAAAGGGGCAGGCCGGGTATGGGATGGGTGTCGGGCTTTATGCTAAGGGCCAGGGGAGCCCCTGTGGTGTCTGGGGGCAGGGCAGGATGGAGTTTGGGTTTTATGGAAGGACCATCTGGTCCTGTGTGTGGAGGTGGTTGGGTGGGGAGCTGGAGCTGCTGCAGGATTCCAGACAAGTGTGGAAAAGCCTGGGCAGCAGCAGTGGTGTGAGAGACGCAGGCTGGGAGGGAGACATACTTTCTCTTGGACACCAAGAGACCCACAGAGGAGGCTGTGTCTGGGGTGATAGCAGGGGGTGTTGTAGGCTAGAGAATGTTCTGGGGGGATCTGGAGAAATGGGAGTGGGCAANCCGCCCAACGCGGACGCCGCCGGCGCCGGGCTGGGGGTCCCCGGCTTCCCCGCGGACCCCGGCCGAGAGGCGGAGGGCATGGACCCGGGGGAAGCCCGCCCCGGGCCGGGGGCTCTGCAGACACCCATGGGAGATCGGGGTGCAGCCGCCAGCTGGCCTTACGTAAGCTCTTAGCCAGACCCGGGGGCTCCATGCTTCCTCCCCGCCAAGGGAACAAGTCTCAAAGGTGACCTGCCTTCTGGGCTGAAGGGAGAACACTCGATCTCATCGCCTGGTGATTTGCTGGGGTCCATTCATCTCCGTTTATGGGACTTAGACCCGTTTTCCAACTGTCCCCCCGCCCTTTGTTGTGTTTGATCCTCTTCCACCGTGGGTGGCTGACGGGCTGTGCCGGGACAATGAAAAGAGAAGAGAGCACTGGATACAGAGTCCCACGAGCCCGGCCAGAGGCTTGCCGCTTTCTTCCTTTAAATAAATATACTTTATGTAGCGAGAGCGCGGGCTTTGAACCACTTCCTGGGTCAGTCTTTCCCCAGCCATTTATGAGTTGTGTGACCTTGTGCAAGTTCTCTCTCCAAGTATCCGTTTTCTCATCTTGAAATCATACTGTGCACTGACGACTTGAGTACTTGGATCATAAATGGTGGCTGTTAGGATTATTATGAGCCTTGATCAGCACGGTTTGCTCTCTCATAACTTCTACTTTCTTCTTCTGTGCAGTAGAATAATAGTGGCCACTGTTAAATAAGGAAGTCAACTTTTGTAGGTAAACGTTAGTATGCTAGTTTTACAGATAAGGAAATTGATGGTCAGATGACTTACGTGACTTCCTAAGGTTAGGAAGACAGCAGATGGCCGGGTGAGGAGCTCACCCCCACCCCAACCTCTTTGTAGTTTTACCCAGAGCTTGTTCAGGAAGTGGTTGAAACACCTGGGCTTCCTCCTAGCAAAATGCCCCACCTCTTAGTTCTGAAACAGGTCCTCTAGGTGTCCAGCCCAGCACAAGCTGGGTGTGTTGAGCCAACGGAAATGTTTGTTCCCAGTCCCTTCCTCAGACTCCAGGTCACCTTTTTTTCAGCCAGTTGCCAGTTATAAATACTTATAACTTGGGGTGACATTGCAATTTATGGTCCAAATACAGTTTTGAGAGTGAACTGTGAGACGTGGTGTTACTAAATTAACCAGGAGCTACAGGTGCAAACCTTGATGGATAGGCACCTTATTTTTAACTGAAAATGAACATAGATATCTTCTAGAATCTAGATAAACCCACTTATTTTGCAAATTTGGGTCAATAAAACTGACAACTTTCCAAACAAGTAGTAATTTTGTATGGTTAATCTCTCATTTGTCTACAATGCAAAAACAGTTGGATAAATCAAGCTCTTTCCACGGTAACCCAGAATAGCACTTTAGTCTTTCTTAGCTTTAGAAACTTATTAAAGGCAAGAAGTCAAACCCTTTCTTCTATGCCTAGTTTCTTCATGAAACTGCTCTGGGATCAGGGTTTTTTTTTTTTTCAAAAGCGCATGGTGTACCTGGGGTTCTATTTTCAGCAACTATTGAGGGGACTGTGTTCTAGTTAGTGGAGCCTCCGCAGGTCTGGGTGGCTGCGTGGAGCAGACTCTGGACCTGCGTTGCACATGTAAAGTGAACACAAAGTAAACTTGGATTGTGTTAAGCCACTGAGATTTGAGATTTGTTTGTAGCTGAGCATATTATAGTCTAATCTGACTAATAGTGGAGGGCTTGTTTGTGTCAGCCCCCTAGAATCCCTGGAGTAAGGGCTTTTTCTTTAGAAAACTCCACCTATGACCCCTTTTAGCCCTCTTTTAAAATTAAAACAGAGTCTAGCCAGTTAGCTAACTTGGGAGAGTATAGTGCTGGTAACACCAAGGTCACAGGGTTCAGATCACCATATAGGCCAGCCACTGAAATAAATAATAAAGTGAATATGAACCAAAGGTACTGTGCAAAATACTTGATATGCTCTTGCCTCCTAAAATTCATGTTGAAACTTAATCACCAGTGTGATAGTATTAAGAGGTGGGACCTTTAGAAGGTAATTAAATCATGAGGGTGGAGCCCTCATGAATGGGATTAGTGACCTTATTATAAAGGAGGTTTGAGGGAGCTGTTCATCCCCTCCTTTTTCCCTTCCGCCTGTGAGGTCACAGCAACAAGGCCATCTATGGTCCCTCACCAGACACTGAGTCTGCTGGCGCCTTGATATTGGCTTCTCAGCCTTAGGAACTGTGAGAAATAAATTTCTGTTATTTATAAATTACCCAGTCTAAGGTATTTTGTTACAGCAGCCCAAAGAGACTAAGAGTATTTTTCATTAAAATCAACATTGAGTGAGAGAAGAATGCTGAAAACAGGACTGAGGATTGGCTGGGGGAAGGTAAATGAAGCAGGCCACAGGGAACTGGGGCAGTACAGAAAATGACCTGGCCCCTGGAGAATGCATTCTTAGTGCTGGCTCAGGACCCACAATTAGTAGGCATTTGACAAATAAATGAATGAGCAAGATTCAAAGAGGGAATGGATTGAGCATTTGGGCAGGAAAAGTGGAACAGACAGAGGTTGGGACAGGCGGGATTGGGGAAACATCCTTGCCCTTCTCTCTTCCCTGTTTTATGAGGGTGCAGCCACCACCTCAACTTCAGGCAGATATACGAGAACAGTATGGGCATTTTGTTTTATTTTGTTTTTTTCATTGTGGTACAATGTAATAACATTAAATGTACCATCTTAACCATTTTTAAGCATACAGCTCAGTGATATTAAGTACATTGTTGTGCAACCATCACCACTATCCATCTTCAGAAATTTTTCATCTTCCCAAACTAACACTGTACCCATTAAACAACAGCTCCCCATTCTCCCCTACACAAGCCTCATGGAAACCGCCATTCTACATACTCTCTCTATGAATTTGGCTTTTCTAGGTACCTCATATAAGTGGAATCATGCAATATTTTTTCCTTTGTGTCTGCCTTAATTTATTTAGTATTATGTCCCAAGGTTCATCAATATTGTAGCATATGGCAGAATTTCCTTCCTTTTTAGGCTGAATACTAATCCACTGTAAGCACTCTAGGTTTGGATACCCAACTTTCACACTGCACCCCAGATTTTATGAGCCAACAACCAAGCTGTGTTTGCTTTACACCGCCACTTGGTGGTCAGTAAAGGGCAGTCTCTGCCCCCAAGTATCTTTCAGATGAGGGCTGGCCTGTGGCTCACTTGGGAGAGCGTGGTGCTGATAACACCAAGGCCACGGGTTTGGATCCCTATATAGGGATGGCTGGTTAGCTCACTTGGGAGAGCGTCATGCTAACAACACCAATTCAAGGGTTAAGATATCCTTATTGGGTATCTTTATATAGGGAATTTAAGGAGTTCCCTCTCCTTACCTGGCATGTCCTCTTGCTCTCCGATATATTTTGTTCCCATCCAGTATCACCATATCCACCCCATTCCCACCTTCCACTCTCCCTCCCTATGTGCTGTTTCTTTTTTCATCCGGGTATGTGAGGAAGGCTTGTGTGTAGGACTAGTTATACCTTGGCACGCACACCTTAGTATTCAAGTCCCAAGATCTGGGAGATCTGGGATTCTCTCCAAGCTGGTTTACCAAAGCACCTTACATGGAGGTGAAGGTTGCTTGCACAGATTAATAAATTCTGTATCCCTACCCTATTCCTCTACTGGCTTGTGGTCTTTGGATGTATTTTCTATTTTCCAGAATGCTGGAGAAGAGAAAAGATGAGTGCTAAGATTCAGGCACCCTGGTCTCCTAACACTAATCATGCCTAACCATGTAGTGATATTGCTGATGGTGACTAGTGGTCAATAACTATAGATTGACTAGATTTATTGCTGCCTCGCATGGAGCCTCCCTGATCCCTTAGACAGATTCAGGCATTTCTGCACAGCTTCAGTGTGGCCACTGGCATTGTGTGTTTGAAACTTGATGTAATTTTCTCCCCACAACCCTGTTATATCTTCCAGGGCAGGGACTTGATCTAGTCATCTCTTCCCCCCACCTAATGCATTGTGTGGGCATCAATAAATGTTTATGCAATTAATAAATTAATGGAATAATTCATTTGTTAAGCCCTTCTTCAAGAAAGGAATCCTTTTATTGAACCAAAATCTGGCTGCACCATTTTTACTTGGGAATAGATGGAAAGTGATACATTCATGAAACCACATCAGGGGCATGGCCTGTGCATGGTCATGACCTATGTAGCTCATAGCTTTGAGACTGAAGGGTAGGCCTGAGGCCTATTTGCTTAGCAAGTGCGTTCACCCCATTCCTCTTACAGCTTGTTTGGGACAGTCCAGGAAGATGATTCTTTGGAAACAGAGATTGTGAATTCTCTAAACATAACTGTACATATCTGTGCTACAAAGTACAGGTAATTTTTCAGGTGATGCAGATAAAAGTTCTACTTTTTCCCTTTGGGAGATTCAGATCTCATCCCCAATTTTTCAAAGCTATTGCCGTATTGTAGATAATTTGAATTAAGTATATTATTATTGAAATTAGATTTTTTTTCCTATTCGTGGAAAGAAGGGTATCAATCAACATTTTGTGAACATTTTGTGTTTATTGTCCCCTCTTTTTAAAACACAAGTCTGGTATGTTAGATATAGAGAAAAATAGCAAATAGAAAGGAAAGATTATAATAATTCAGGGAAATCTTAGAGCTGTGTTCCGGCCAATTTTCCTCCTGCAGGTCCTGGGCTGGTGCTGTGTGGACCTTTGGGAAGATGGTTTGTGCTGCCACATGGTCCCCTGCCAATCAGAACAGGTTTATTTGTTTCTATCCTGCTTATTTAAATAATAATAAGACCAACATGGAGTGGAGGTGGATCCCCATAAGTACGGCTATTGAAAATCCTACAGTTACAGAGATTCAAGATGTATGCACAGCAGTTGGACTTAATGTGTTTCTTGAGAAAAATAAAATGTACTCTAGAGAATGGAATTGTGATGTTCAAGGCAAAGGCAGAGTCTAGGTCCAGCTCAAACAGGAGGAGGGCACCCTTGTCTTGTACAGTTCCAGTCACGTTCATCAGTAATAGGGAGATTATACCTGAACTAAAAACAGGACGCAAAAACCAGGAGTTGGTGACCCAAGTCTTCAGCAAGGAGAGGGAAGTAAAAACAGGAAAGGAAAG